TGTCATCAGTCAGAGCGATGCACAGGATTTCACATGATGCTTCTTACCCCTCAACACTTCCAAAAACAGCATGGGAGACAGGAGAGGAGTGGAACATTTATCGGAGAGCGAGCGAGCCTGTCTGGAAACGAAACGGATCTGGGAAAAGAGTGTGCAGCTGCCAGACATCAATACTTTGGTTCAGACGTGGGAGCCTAGAATGTGTGAGCATGTGCAGAGAGCAGTCGCTCTCCTCGTAAGGCGAAAAGTGTCTGAGGCGAGAAAACTGACTCAAGGCATGTTTGCATCTTAACTTTCCTGAAGCAAATGAGGAACGGGGGCTTCATTATTAGAGTCCAGGTTCTGCCCGTAGAAAGGTGTATCTTCAAGATGAGGATGACTGATGATGGGTGAAGAAAACTGTTCTCCGCTGAGAGGCTCAAATTGCTGCCAGTCTGAGCAGGCAAGACTTAGACGGAGCGAGGCTCTAAGCTGGCATCAGGCTATTTGCTCTTGAGATGAGGTTCAGCTTCCACACAGGGGGCGGGGGGGGCAAGCAACAATTCCTTGCCGGTTCTGCACATCTCCCCCCAGGCTGCTTTGGGAGCGTGTCCTTCTAAGGCCCCGCGGCTGCTCTCAGTCCCTCGCGAAGAACCGACCTGGAATTCCAGGCAAGCGGCTAGGCCAGGTAATCGCCCAGGGAGGACCGTGCCATCGCTGCCAGGGCGTGGGCCTTTGGCGCAGCAGGTCCCGGCATCCATCCTGGCCATCTCTAACTGAACAGGTCGCAGTGGAAGGAGGAGGGCAGGAGGACAGGCCGCCTGACCTGAGGATAAGGCAGCTTGTTGGGTTCTGGGGAAGGGACATCCGTCCCTCAGGATCTGTAGGGCTGACTTCTAGCAGCTCTCTCTTACCGAGGGGGCTTCTGGGTGCGTTGCTGGCTGGAGCCAGGCAGCATCAAATAGTAGTAGTAGTAGTAGTAGTAGTAGTAGTAGTAGTAGTAGTAATAATAATAATAATAATTTTTGTCTGGCTTAATATGCGTTTGTTCTTGAGGGCTGGTCTTGTGCAGCCAGAAGTAGCCCCTCTGTCTCTTTCTTCAGCTTTCCTGCTCTTAGCCATTGCCAGGTCTTCTTGTGATCTGCTCTGCCTGCTAGTTATTTTTTTTTATTATTAATTAATTAAAAAAACATACCATTATTGATTCGGGCAGGGCTGTGGAGACTTGGCGAGCCATGTAGACTTTGGCCAACGTCCACATGCCCCCAGTGGCAACTCCCGTCCCGCCTCCACAGTCCGCACCGCAGCCCAGGGCCGTGCTTCTGCTGCAACAGCCCGGCGGCACCAGCAGTTCCGCGTGGGTCACGTGTGGGTCAGGCGCCCTTGGCAGCACCTTCTGCTCCCGGTATTCCCTTTCAGCCTGGCTCCTTTGCAAGAAGCCGCCACTGGGCTTTCCAGGGCACGTTTTCACTGCTAGCGGCTGCCTTTGCAAAAGAATT